AAGAAAAGGAGGAGGAGGAGGAGGAGGAGGTGGTGGGAAGGGATAGGGGGGAGGAGGTGGGGGGGGCGTACGTACGTAGAGGACGACCATGTCGATGCCGGCGAAGCGGTCGGGGTGGCGAGCGATGCGGGAGCAGAGGTCAGTCTTGGTCCAGCCGTCCTCCACCAGACGCGCCGCGTTGACGCGCCCGTTGGGGCGGCCGCCCGTGTTGGGCAGCTGCGAGGGTTGAGGGTAGGGCCACGGAGGGCACAGCGTCACTGACTCCCCGTCGGGCACCACAAAGCACGACGACGACGACGACGACGCTGCCGTTGTGGGCTGCCGCGTCCTGCTGGCCTCCCTTGCCGAAAGCTTTCTCGAGGCGGCGCGTTTCTGCTGCGAGTTCGTCCGAGCGCGTTTGGGGGGCGGAGGGGAAGATCCCCTGCGCAAGGGTGCTGAACCCTTTCCCGTGACGAGGGGGATGTAGTCCAGCTCGTGCATCTTTGATGGCCACAATGCAGTGCCTGTCTTGGCGGTCTTGGTGTTGTGGCGAGCAGAGAGATGCAGAAAGTGAAAAAATTTCACAAAATAAAAAAGCACGTCTTCCTATTTCGTCGCGGAATACTCTGTCTTTGCGTTTGGTTGTCCGCAACCACTAAAAATAATATTATCCAACTCGAGCAATAAATAGAATTTTATTTGCCTGAGTTTGGGACACAAAAAAAAGGGTCCGAGAAGGGCGGTCAGTCGGCCTTGGCGGGCTGGGGCCTGCGCTTTTTGGTGGCGCCACTCGACTTCTTGTCCGACGACGCACCAGCTCCTTCCGCGCCCGCCTGCGCGGCGGCGGCGGCGGCGGCCTCCAGCTGCTGCTGCTTCTTCTTTTTCCTCCTCTCCTCCTGTGGAGTCTCCGGCTCGGCGTTGTTGGCCAGCAGCCTGGTGAATGGGGTCGGATGGGGATGGGGGATGGGGGAAGGACGTGAGCGCACGAGCCAGCAGAGGAGGAGGGGGGCGGTTGGTCGGAAGGAGAGAGCAAGGATTATGTGGTGGCG